TATTACTTCTATTATTACTATTTTATTAGATTAATAAGAAGATTTTTCCATTTTTCTCTACATGTGTGTGACTATGCACTGATAAAATAAACAAACTATTTAATGAATCACAGATTGACGTTATGTCTATTTTATGACGAGAATGACCCAATATATGGCATACCTTAACTTTGATTTCTTATAACTATCATAAAAATGTATTGTAACATATTTTTTAATCGATACACTAGACATCAAAAATTATAATTTAAGATTATAATGAATTCTTGCACATTTCTTTATTAAGAAAATCACGATTATTATTATAAATAATTTAAAAATTCAATATTATTCCAAAATATTATTATTCTATAGAGAGTTGTTATCCAGAAAAAATGTTGATGTCTAATAAAATAAAATACAAGATATATGTTAATTGTTAGGTTTAGCTTCTCTCCGAACTATACAATTTAACTCCATGTATAGTCTAGTGTATCGATTGAAAATTATGCAAGTATTATGCAAGTTCAAGGCGGTAACGGTTTATCTTGCAGTCCGACACATGTGGATTACACGGCAAGATACAGGCGCGATTTATCCTGTGCCGTTATATAAACCATCTTTGCTAGTGAGCAAGTACTCATTACAGATTTATTAGACTACAGTCAGACTGTAGGCTATCTATAACAATTGAATAATTAATAGGAATTTATTTTCATATTTATAGAATCGTTTAACTTTAATTTGCATTCTATTTTTCAATTGATACATTCAATTCCTCGCTAATAAAAAAAAATATTAGTATTTCTTATAAATATTTAAATATTTAAATATTTAAAAAATTGTTAATTAAAAGATTTTTTCAATTAAATAATATTTCTATCATTATATTAGCACCATGTTTACACATTATTTTCCTGAAATCTATTATTAATTATCATTTATTATTTACTTATTCTTATTTATACCCAGCTGTCAGATAAAGTTCCAGTTAACATTAAGCAAAATTTGTTTTAACAAACGTTTGTGTGATGTAAAATCATTTCTACGATTTTAATATGTTTCAATACTTTTTAATCCTGAGTTTTTAATCTTAATATTTTATAATCTTAAACTTGCATGCTGTTTTTTGTGAAACGTCACTAATAATACACGACAATATTTTTCAAGAAAATCTGATAATAGCTAGATGTACCACTAGATGATTAATTAACATTTTAAAACACAGTGTGCCTTTTAAAGAGAAAGTATTGCAAAAATATGATTAGAATACTCTAAAAAAGATTAACCACTAGATGATTAATTAACAATTTAAAACACAGTGTGCCTTTTAAAGAGAAAGTATTGCAAAAATATGATTAGAATACTCTAAAAAAGATTATATAAAGAAATATAACAATCTCAAATCTTTTGCAATTCTCGTACTATTGCATTGCACTTTGTCACTTCTGGCCTTTTTCGGTCAGAAGAGTATAGAAATCGAATGGATAAAGCATTGTGAGAAACGTCAAGGAATACAATCGACTCCACCCCCTCATGTTCATTCGATCGATCTCATTCACGACGCGGGCTCGCGGCATTCTCGTCGAGGGTATCGGAAAATGTTGACGTCAGGTTATTGTAAATCGTCAAAATCGAAAATTACAAGGATGGATCTTAGGTATCGCGCATAAAAAAAAATTTCCTACTCTCGCCTCTCATCCCGCGGCCAATGCCACCTCGCATCCTTTTCCCGAAAGCACCCATGATGCGCGCTCACGCGCGCACCTTATCTCTCTCTCTCTCTTTCTCTCTCTCTCTCTCTCTCACTCTATTTACCGTTTTCGTGGTTTCCTACTCCGCGTTACGCCACGACGTTCGATTAGAAGGAGGGGAAGAGGGAGAAACGAAGGAAGGAACGAGAGAGAGCGATGGAGCAAGGAGGGCGGGGGTGGAAAGAGAAAGAAGAGAGAGAGAGAGAATATATGTACCACTGCGGGACGACACACCACTTCTTTTTCCAGGCGGAAGACGATTTTCCGCTTCTGCTCGAGAGAGAGCGCGCGCGCGCGCGCGCTCGCGCAGCGACACTACCGACACAAGCACGACGAAAGTCTCTCCGGTCGATTCGCACTCTCTCTATTCGTCACACGAGCGTACCTTCTCCATGGAAGAGGAGGAGGAGGAGGCGGCGGCCACTTTCACACTCCGTCGTCGACACCACCCTCTTTTTTTTTCTCGATACACACTGATTCTCTCTCTCGGCGACCGATGATCTAGAGCTTCCTCGCCGATGCTGTAGAAGTAGCAGCAGCTACCGCAAGCGGGTCCGAGAAGCGCGGTTCTGCCAGCCAATAAGCTGCGATGAAGCGGGGAGAGGTAAGGAGGGAAGAAAGAAGGAGAGGGAGGGAGTAGAGGGTTGACGTTTTCGGGACGGTTCGTACGGCACGATTTCTATATAACGTGACCGCTTCCTCGCGGCTCGGATTTCTCCGTCGTCATCGGCCGTCGACGTATTACGTAGGATACTTATTTCTACGCCAACGTCGCGTTACTCCTCTCTGTCGCTCTCTCTCTCTCTCTCTCTCTCTCGCGTGGCTATGATCTGTCTCGCTTCTTCGATATCTTCTCTCTTGCTCTCTTGTGGTTCGCCTCTGTCTCTTTCTTTCTATCTTTCCTTTTCACTGTTCTCTCTATCTGTCTTCCTCGCTATGGAGTCCGATCACCTGAGCTGCTATTCGTCGTCGTCGATGTTTGACAGATTTCCGTGCTGCTGTATTTTCACCGCGTCGTCGTCATCGTCGTCGCTGCCATCCTTGCGTTCAACGCCCGTGTTCAATTGGCACTATCTCTCTCTTTCTCTCTCTCTCTCTCTCTCTCTGTCTCACTATCGCTGGTCGCGGGCACCGGACAGACCGACGCAAGGCAGTTCTCGTAGCCAGACTCGCTTGATATATCACGACGAAGGCGGCGGTTATAGACGCGGAATAACAAGGTCGCGCGTTCGCCGGATGATAATATTTCGACTGATACTACGAACGATCAGCGACGACTTTTCTGCCTCGTCGTTAAGCAGCAGCAGCACGGTAACACCACACCGACCATTGAATTTTTCGACGTCTCCTCCTCAGACATTGACCCGTTCGGGCAAGATCGGGGCCAGTCGAGTGTCGGCGGACATCGCCGAGCGTGACGTCAGCGACACCCCACCCCGCCTCTTGTCGAGAATCGGGAGCGGCGTTCTATCGAATGCGAGGCGACGTCGCCGTAATTGGCTGCTTCCAACGCCATCTTGAATTTGTCGTGTCGTGTACGGATTGTGATCGTGGCGCGCAATTCGAATCTCGAGCGAGGATATTTAGGTCAAATGCCGTGAGAGAAATGAGTGCGAGACTTGAAATTTGTTATGATCCTAATCCTTTATACTAGTGAGATAAAATAATAATTATTAAGATTATATTATTTAATATATTATATTATAATTAGATTTTAATCTGATAATATTTAATTTATCTGATAATATATTTAATGTGTAGCGATTATTTTTATCAAATTTAATTCTTGACAAGTATCTAGGCATGAATATTTTGGCGTGACAGAAAAGGACCATTTTGTTATAAGCGATTTGTATTGTAACCAAAATATCTTCAATCTTTTTCAAAGTATTTTAAAATAATTCTAAAAGAGAGAGAGAGAGAGAAGAGAAGAAAACATCAAGTTTCTATATTTCTTTGTTTACGCAATGCGTGATGAAGGACAGAAGACAATTTTCTTGAAAGAAAAGAATAATATTATATTTATATCGATACTTTTCGCAACCATTATATATATATATATATAAGCTCG